ACAGGTTAACAAAGTCCGCACACTTCCTGCCTATCAAAGAAACTGACAAGATGAAGAAACTAACCAGAACATACATTATGGAGATAGTACGACTGCATGGTGTTCCCATCTCCATTATCTCTGATAGAGATAGTAGATTCACTTCGAGGTTCTGGCAGTCGCTACAAATTTCCCTAGGAACTAGGTTGGACATGAGTACAGCCTACCATCCAGAAACCGACGGACAAAGTGAGAGGATTATTCAAACTTTGGAAGATATGTTGCGAGCCTGCGTGATTGACTTTGGGAAGGCATGGGATACTCATTTACCCCTTGTCTATTTTTCCTACAACAATAGTTATCACACGAGCATAAAGGATGTTCCATTTGAAGCCCTCTATGGCCGTAAGTGCAGATCCCCTCTATGTTGGGCTGAGATGGGCGACACTCAGTTAGCTAAAGGACGAGTTCCTGACAGCACTCTCACAGGTCCGGAGATCATTCGAGAAACGACAGATAAGATAGTTCAGATTCGTGAACGATTGAAAGCCTCTAGAGACCAACAGAAAAGCTACGCAGACAAGAGAAGGAAACCGTTGGAATTCCAGGTGGGCGACCGTGTTCTATTGAAGGTCTCACCCTGGAAGGGCTTGATACGCTTCGGAAAGCGTGGCAAGATAAATCCAAGATATGTAGGGCCTTTCGAGATTCTCGCTAGAATCGGCCCTATAGCTTACAAACTCAAACTACCTCGCGAACTCAGTAACGTACATTCTACTTTCCACGTCTCGAACTTGAAAAAGTGTCACTCTGACGAGACTCTTCTAATACCACTCAACGAGATCGAGATCAACGAGAGCCTCAACTTCGTGGAAGAACCTGTAGAGATCATGGACCGAGAGGTCAAGCAAACGAAGCAAAGCCGTATCCCGATAGTGAAGGTTCGCTGGAATGCCAAGCGAGGACCTGAATTCACTTGGGAGCACGAGGATCAAATGAAACTAAAATATCCTCATCTTTTCGTTTAGTTATTTGTAATAGCTTAATTGATAAACTCTGATTTTGGGACGAAATTCTCTCTAACGGGGGGATGATGTGACAACCCGGAATTTCTATCTTTTACAACATTGCAACTCAATCAAAGTCAGACTTATTTCTGCTATCTTTTAGCATTGTTTAGGGTCTGTTTGAGTGTTCTAAGCATAGTACATCCAAGGATCGGGTGTTAGGAAGTATCTGCTTGAGTCCATTGTGCACCAAGCAAGCTATAAACTTCATCATGTGGAGTTTACGACCACATCATATGAGTTTACGGCCGTAAACTCAAGGTGGCCGTAAACTCATGCTATAAACATGATATTCCTTCCTTATTCCTCATTATTCACCATTTCAACCTCAAGAACTTGATTTCTCTCTCAAGTATCATAAGGATCTTCATTTTTATCTTCAAAAATGTAAGTGTTTCATCCTTTGTTTTGTTGATACATCTCATTATCTAGTATCACCCTTTGATTTCATCCCTTAACTTCATCTTTTGGGTTTGATCTTCAAGATCAACAAGAACACCAAGAACACACACTAGTGTTTTGGGCCGAAATCAACTCTTTTTGATTCCATATTGTAAGTATCCTTTTCCTATACTTGTTATCTAGTAGAAACCCTTGATTTACACCTTGAAAACATCCATTTCCCAAGAACAATAGGAGTTTACGGCCAAGAGCATCTCCTTTGGCCTTAAACCCTTGTTAAAGGTGCATTTGTTGGCCATAAACTCCCTAAAGCTAAGCATTGAACCTAGAACACTTCCTTGATGCTTGAAAGGACTTTAAATCACTCTTAGGCACAAGACTTCATGAGTTTACGGTCGTAAACTCATAGGGCCGTAAACCCTATGGCCGTAAACACATAGGGCCGTGAACACTTGTCCGTAAACACCATTGTGTGGCCATACACCCCTTAGATGCAACCCTTTGTACTTATAACACTTCAATCTAAGTGTTTCCTAAGTCCTAGGGTGTTTTCCTTACATGATTAGTTTTATAAACACTAATTATATACATATATGTGTCATTATATGCTTATTAGGATCCGTTGTGCTCAAGTCTTCACTTGACACTTAGCCTCCTACAATCGATCTTACATTCGTATCACTCACTGCAGGTGAGTTCATACCCCCTTGACTTATCTTTTAAATGATTTTAAATGCTTTTATGGGGGGATACAAGTAGAACTATTATAGTTATATCAATCACATGTGATTAATAACTATCAAACAAGTGGATTTCTCACATTTCAACTGTGTTATCAAACAAACAGCTTCAAATCGTTTTATAAACTCTTTTATATGTTAAATACTTTCCATCAAACTCTTTTAAAACTTATACTTTGTCAAAATCATGTCTATATAGATATAGTTATATAAGTAGGATTGAAAGGACTTAGGACTGATAACTCGCCTTATTTCTTGTTCCTTGTTTGGTTGTGGACTCAGGGTATCGGTTATTTGTCTGAAGGTCGTTTTAACCTTAGTTATATATTATGTGTATGTATATAGATATAAAAGTTCTTCTATTAGTTCAATACCTTTGGGTAGCAAAGGTGTACAAACACGTTCATTCATACAAACAACATTGCTAGTAAACTATAATAGGTATAGTTTAGGAAGTCACTACTTACTATTGCTAGAACAATGAAACATACAAGAGTCAGTACATACTAAAACGAGAGACAATACTCACTATAAAGAGAAACAGATAGAACATACTATAACGAGAAACAATACATACTATACACATTATACACTAGAGAACATACTACATACTAGACAGAGAGAACATACACTACACTAGAACATACTATACAAATACAAGAATACTATAACAATAATGTGAGATACTACTTCATGGTTCGGCAATATACTGTTCCGTCACGTTTTGTACCCAGAATCTCCTAGATGGAGAGCGTGAATTTATGTATAGATCTATACGGGACTGGCCCTCCTACACCTTGCTGCTAGCTACAGTGGGACCTGCAGGTCTACGGGTGACGAATGTCATACCATTTCGACGTCTCGAACGTCGTGTTATACTAGTCGATCAAGTATGGTTACAATCATATCACATTTTACCTTAATTAAACTAACAAGTTTAAGGTAGTTAGTACATTGGTAGTTACTTAGATAAAACTACAGTACATCTTTATTTTTCCCATTTCATTCACATTGTGATCTTTTGACATAAACGGTAATGAAAACTATATTTTGGTAATGATATCATACTTTGGGAAAATAGTCACTTTTACAAAAGAACAAACATAAAGAACAGTTGGGTCTTTAAGAAGACTGCTTTAGTAGAAAATATAGGATTTTCTAGGAAGTTTACAAACATTTACATCAAATACTTACAAACTCTTACATAAACATTTACAAGCACATTCTTCAAACTTATACAAAACAATGACACTAAAATACTTATGAACTCACCAGCTTTAATGCTGATCTATGCTTTCAAAATAACTTGTATTCTCAGGTCGCCAGTAGACAGGTACCGATGACCAGGTTTTGAGAAGACGGAGCTTTCAGGACTCGTCTTTATTTTGATTATTCATTTTTGGTGTCTTATAAACTTCAGAACACACTTGTATTAAAATTATACTATTCATGCAATGGATGATGTTGTTGCTTGTTTACTATTATGCATTGTTGTGATACTGTACATGACGTCCTCCGCCCCCGAACGTTTCCGCCGTTCTGGTTTGGGGTGTGACAGTATGATGGTTGTTTGTGAAAGATTTTTGAAAAAGGAGTGCCATTATTGATGTATGAGGATGGAGTGATGTTAAGAAGATGTGAGGCCATGTGTAAGGCCTCAACCCAATATTCAGATGAAATGTGGGCTTGAAACAGAAGGGTACAAATGATGTTATTTATTGTGTGAATCATTCGTTCTGACATTCCATTTTGTTGAGATGTTATTGGACAAGAGAAGCGGAAGGTAAGACCATATTGTTCGAATATGGAGTGGAACTCACGATTGTCAAATTTTCCCCCATGATCACATTGAAAAGATTTGATTTCAGTATTAAATTGGGTTTTGACATATGCACGAAAGTGTAAGAATTTAGTAATGACCTCATATTTGTTTCGTAAAGGATAAACCCATAAAAAATGAGAATAGTGATCTAAAAACAACACATAATAATTTATTCCAGAAACACTTGATATAGGAGAAGTCCAGATATCAGAGTGGATAATGTCAAATACATGAGAAACAGTGGAAACAGATGAAGTAAATGGCAACCTAACATGTTTGCCAAGACGACACGAATTACATGTAACAGAAATAGAGTCTTTATTACATACTATAAATTTATTTGAAATTAAAAACTAAAGAACACGAGGGTCGGGGTGACCAAGACGTTGATGCTATAGGGTTGTACTACAAGTAAGGAGAGAGGTAGGAGATTTGGGCTTCTCGAAAGCTAGATAAAGATCGCCCGAGCTGTCACATCTAAGAAGTACCTGACGGGTTTGAAAATCCTTCACAGATAAACCAAATTTATCAAATTCAATAGTGACATTATTATCTATTGTGAATTTTCGAACAGAAATAAGGTTTTTGATTATGTTAGGTGTAACCAAAACATTCTGAAGGTGAAGTGGGCGGTGAGATGTGTGTATGTGAGACTGTCCAAATTGAGTGACGGGAATAGAAGAGCCATTGCCAACAAGGAGATAGCTTATTTTGCTATTATTATGTAACGAATGGTGTTTACCTGAGTTCGAGGCCAAATGAGAAGTAGCCCCGGTGTCCATATACCAAGATGGGTCGTGAGTGTCATTGATCGACATGGTGTGCATTGCAGCCGCTATATCCGTGGGTGGATCAGAATGAGTCGGAGGAAACCACTGCCACGGGGGGTGAGTTCAGTTGTCTGGTCAACAGAGTGAAACACAGCAGGAGACTGATGTGGGTAGTCTGCAGTGGCGGGACTGCTGCCAAGGAGACCTTGTTATCTGGCAGATGAAGAAGACCGGTGACATTGATGTTGTCCGGTGTAGGGGCGAGGAACAGACCAGGGAGCTGAAGGCCAGCCATAGACTGCCCAAGGCGGAGAAAAATAAGGCCATTGCATTGAAAAAGGAGGCTGATGTTGAGACCGAGAAGAAGAATTCGACGGTTGGCGATTCTCGGTGGAGGGTTGGCGACGAGAGGAGCCGCTGCGGTGGCTGCCAATGTGGTTGTGGTTGCTGCGAGTGTTGTTTCTGTTGTTGTTGCTGCGATTATGAGGTGAAGAGGGATGACCTGAATAGTGCATATATCGTTGTTTCTGATGAAGCCAACTGAGTTGATTGATTGCTAAGTTCACTTAGGGGGATATTGTTGATACATAAAATTAAACCTCTAGCAATCCAAGCCAAACCAGATCCGAAGTCAAGTGTAATCCGAGATGTGAAGAGTTTTGAAGTCAGTCCTCTTCTGAGAAGAAGACATTTCTGATACATTCATAGTTTTTTTATGTGATAGAGTATGTACAAGCATTAACTGCTCCTTGTCATTTTTATTGAGTGAACAGTTCATAAGACAAAATCAAATAAATCTTGTGTATCAGATGTGTTAAGTTCTTTGTTTTATCTAGTGCATAGAATGTTCATGGTTTGTATTATGTCTCTCCTTTACTATTTAAGGAGATGATATTTCATCCATTGTAACTTGAAGTAGCAATATTCTCTTCACATCAAATACAAAATCTCTTGCAAGTCAAATCTCTTTCACCATCATTCCTCTTGTTCTTAAGTTATCTTTACTTTGCTCATACTCACTTTACTTTACTTAAATATTTTGTTGAATACTTTGTTGATCTTCATACTTCAAGAAAATACTGGTTTACCATACTTGACTGGACCAAAATATTAGCAATAGACATTGATCTTAAGTTAATTCAAGGTTTGAGTTTTCAAGCCTTGTCCGTGTACTATATCTTGCACTTTCATTCTAGTGCTTTTGTCAATTCAGTTATACTACCTAGAATAAATTATACACACACCTCACAATCATTACTTAGCATTCTAAGTTTAAGTCTAGAAATTCATAAATTCCTAGTTCACTTAAACTAATTCTCTGATACTAACTGTGACATCCCCCATTTTCACGGCCTTTTTAAAACTTTTTATTTATGCTTATTTAAGATATTCGTTATTACGGTATTGGTCCCAAAATATCATTGACATGATATAATATCAAAATCAAGGAATGTCATCAGATTTTATATTTTAAACGCCAAGGATGTCATAACTGACACAAAACATAAGAATAAACAGTTCTTAAATTAATTTACATTATTGATCTACATCTCCTTTAAACTTTCAGCATAATGTACCTTCGTATCGATACATGTGACACAAAGAAACTGGGTTGGTCAGGTTGGGAAACCTAGTGAGTACATAGGGTTTTCAACCCATAATATTATAATCATTAATTATCTTTTCTTCAGCATTCAAATTTCCCAATTACACCATTACCATTATCCTCACTTTCTAAGCCTAGTATGATGATCTCAAGGGATATTTCTTAAGGACCTTTGTCTGCAACCATCTATATTTCATAGATGATTAGGCATGGCAGTATAATAGTACTTTGGACAACCTCTCCTTTATTATTTCACACGACTCTTTACTACCCAATCATATTTATTAACTTTATAGTTTAAGTAAGTAATAACTATATCATGTTGCACGTATATATTATACACAACAAGACCGTGCTCATAGCATTTAAGCATTTAGAATACTTGCATCTATGTGTAACTTGAAAGTAACTATGCACTTACCTGACTTAGGTGGGTAACAGTAGAATTCAGCAGCACTCGCCCAAACTCCTTGACTTTCCGCTGACGTAGCCTAGATACGAATGTTACTAAGTCTTAGTCTAATATTTCAGGTAACTAATGATAGTATACATTCCTTACTAATCCCAATGTCTACATCAAGATCTATTAAGTAATGAACAACCAGGTAGGATCATATTGGAGGTAGGGTCCGTTTGGTACATAGAGTATATTGTTTGGAAATCTCACTTTAAGCACCTAACTAAATCCAGCCTAGATATCACTCCCGTAATGAGATCAAATAATATAATAACTTGGAATCACTAACAAAGCTTAATTATAGGTTCATAATAATGATTATGAGTATAATTAAAAGTTACAAGTAATATAAATAAGTGTAGCTTGACTAACAGAGTAATCTAACAATAACCAGGAAATATGCAACTAGGACTCTTATCTGGGAGCTTCTATTCACTGACTATCTGACACTACTGGGCTCTGATCAGATATCCGGGAACTCGGGAGTAAAAGGGGCTATAAGGATAGTAAACAACCAGGTAGGATGATATCGGAGGTAGGGTCTGTATGTTATATAGAGTATACTGTTTTGGAAATCCCTCTTTAAACTATCTGACACTACTGGGCTCTGATCAGATGTCCGACGTCCGTTCTTGATGAGGTATGGACGAGATCTTCAACTCCCATTTAGATTGTTTTTCCTAACAATCGACCGTTCTAAATTTTTGGTTTTTGGGTCGTATACTGCTATGCTGAAACTTCAAAAAAATCATAACTTCCTCTCATGAGGTCAGATTTAGGCATTCTTTATATGTACGAAATCCTTGTCACATACACTTTAACTTTTGTTAACAATATTTATCCTAAATAATCTTTTATCAAAAGTTATTTTTAACGCTTAATATATCTTAATCGACTAGCCCGAATATGCGGGTGTTACAGTATATCAGGATGATTACATATCATAGTGTACATGATCAACCCTATAGTCGAAGCATATGAGATCCTACTCATTCTTTCTTGTTTATAACTAGAACTAGAAAATTGAGTCTTACTAAATTTCACACTATGATGCATAGGAACAATTCTTTTCTTTGAATTTTCCATATTGATTCACTTTAATATTTTATCCACATATGTACTTTGACTAAGTCCCATAGATGGACCTCTCACACTTACACACTCTATTTGGATACTTGACATGTGCAAGCCCTTCATCTTGTGTCATGTATACAAAATCGAAAAATTTCCCATTAAAGAAGGTTGTGTTAACATCCATTTTCCACCTACCTATCTTTAAATGTTTGTATATTCCCATCCATGACAACCTTCTTCTTGAAGATCCATTTACAATCAACTGTCTTATGACCAGGAGTTAGATCAACCAAATTCAAAACTTGGTTATCTATAATAGACAGATTTTTGTTGTCCATATCCTCTTTCCACTTAGCTGCCTCAGTGCCCACCATCGCTTCTTGTAGTTAGGTGGTTCTTCCAGATTCACCAATGTTCTATCACTGATCATCATTTCTCCTTCCATTGTTATATGAAAACCATAAAACTCGGGAGCTTGGCTAACTCTACTTGATCTGCAAAGAGGTAAGGAAATGTCATTTGGTTCAACAGGTTTCTCAACCTCTGGTTGGGAGCTAGTGCCAACTATAGGTTCACTGTTGGGCGACTCTTGTAATTCCACAAGCTCAATTTGACTCCTACTGACTCTTTGAGATATAAGTTATATATCAAGTAACACTTCTTTTCGAGCTACAAATACCACGTGTTCACTGGGTCTGTAAAACAAATATCCAAAGGATTTTTGTGGATAACCGACAAATCGACATCTCTCAGATTTGGATTCAAGTTTATCTTGGGTTTCGCATCAAACAAAAATCACACAATGCCATACCTTAATGTGATTAAGTGATAGAACTTTTCCAGTCCACATCTGATGAGGTGTCTTCAAAACCTTGTTAGTTGGAACAAGGTTTCAAATATGGGCTACTGTTTCAATTTCATAACCCCAAAACATAATTAGTAATGACGCGTGACTCATCATAGGTCAAACCATATCTAATAAGGTTTGATTTCTCCTTTTAGAAACACCATTTAGTTGTGATGCTCTTTGAGGAGATAATTGTGAAGCTGTTCCACGATTTCAAAGATGATCATAGAACTCAATACTACGATATTCCCTCTCCTGTCAAATCGGAGAACCTTTATCTTCCTTCCTAATTGAGTCTCTAATTTATTTTGATACTCTTTGAACTTTTCAAAAGTATTTAACTTATGTTTAATCAAATAAACATAATTGTATCTACTGAAATCATTAGTAAACGTAATGTAGTAGTGCTTACCGTCCCTTGTGGCGGATCTAAAAGGTCCACACACATCAGTGTGTATGAGGTCTTACAATCCTTCACCTATTTCACATGTTCCTGTGAATGGTTAGTTATTCATATTGTATAACAAATAAGATTCAAATACATCATCCGATTTTAGGTCGAATGATTCCAAGATTTCGTCCGATTGGAGCTTGGCGATGTGTTTCTTACTTATATGGCCAAGACGACAATGCGATAAGCGCGATTTGTCTATGATATTTGAAGAATCAATATCTTAGTTAATGTTGTTATTACTATGAATACATACAACACTTTCAAACACATCATCTCAAGGGAAATATTTAAACATAAAACAACCATCTTTATAACCTAAAATGTCACCCTTTTCATTATCAAACGAAAGTTGCCATTCTTGTTTATACAATGCATGAAGTGAAATAATATTCATAGAAATCTCAGACGATTCAACTAAATTAATCAAAATCCCACTACTAAACTTCAATTTGAACTCTCCAACCCTCGAGACAGGCGACGTTCGTCTATTCCCCGTGATTAGATTCATATCTCCACATCCAATATCAAGAACCCATGAATTTTAAGTAGTAGTATGAAGTTTGATCATAAAAGTACCTGAACTACACCCGGTCTCTTGAACCTTTCCATCCTTGAGATCTTTCAAGTAGTTTGGGCAACTTCGTTTCCAATTCCCCTTAACGCCACGGTAGAAACACAATGCTTCTTTTAGATCACTCATAGGTGGAAAAAATGTATCACCTTTTCCTTTGTTTCCACTTTGGGAATGTGAAACCACATCCTTCCCTTTCCACTTGAGATTGGAACAATCTCTCTTCTGTCCATCAACATTTTGAATAGCGAGTACTTGTGTTTGAGGTGCAACATGAAGTTTCTTTACACCGGCTTCAATAATTTAGAGGAGATAGTAGAGTTCCGTCAATGTCTTGTCCATACTATTCAAATGATAAATCATGATGAAATTATCATATGAACTAGGGAGATAACAAAGCACAAGATCCACTGCTAGGTTCTTATCGAAGACAAAATCAAGATTCTCGAGTTGGTCAATGTAGCTTTTCATCTGGTGAACATGAACACATGCCGATCTACCTTCTTTGAGTTTGCACGATGTTAGGGCTTTGGAA